GCAGTTCTACTGTTTACAAACATGGTACTAGAGCATTTATCTTATGGAGCAACCATGCCAGTTCCCTATAAAATAAGCACTGTTCGTTAGTTCCTAGTGCCTCAAAGCCAGAGTGCACTGATTCCTCCAGTGGGCTGCCATGAACCACTCCAAAACACCCAATTATCACTCTTTACATGAGTAATTTCTAAAATTTCCAGGAGACTCTGATTGGTGAGTTCACAAAATAAATATTCAAGCTGAAGCTGAGGGGGGATACATTCTGAAAATTCCCTTAAATTGTGGGGTCCTTCCTTCTAAACTAGTCTCAGAAATCCTAAGAATTTCTTCAGGCACTGCTAACCTCAACTGAGTCCATGTGGCCTACACAGCTAGTCAAAGCAGCAGTCTTGTCATAGGAGAACTTGAAAAGAGCCTTTTCCTCCTTGGGCAAGCGGTCCTTTCCTAGTGTCTTCACCGACCAGGGATGTAGTTCACTGATAGAACATTTGACTAGCATGCTCTAGACTCCAGGTTCATTGACAGCACTGAGAAAAGAAAATGCAGCCAGAGCAGAGTTTCTTTAAGGACCAACAGCCAGGATGGCTCATGGAACTCTGTGGTGAGACCTTGTTAGTACTAATAAAGCTTGTCTGAAGATCAGAGGGTGGAGCTGGCCACTAGTTAGCCATAGAGGTCTGGATGTCTGTACAGATAGACAGGAGGTGAGATGACTGGGCTGAGAAAGGAATATATGTGGGAGGAAACAGGAACTCGGTCTCTTTTCCTCTGGAAGCTGATGAGGTAAAGGTGGCTTTGGCTTGCTCCTTCTCTCTGATCTCTCAGCATTTTCTAGAAACTTATGCTGTGATTCTTCTTTTGTGATTCCAAGTAACTTCCTGGGCCTCCTTTCCTGATATTCCCACTAATACCATAGGGTATTCCTAGTGGCAGGTCAGGGCCTCTCACTATAAAGCTCTTTTACCTGGTAAAAGGGCTAGAACAACATTCTGGTGACAAGAAAACACCTCTACATTTTTGAGGGGACCACTCTCAAAAGTGGGTTTAAAAAGTGGTGCAATTCTGGAAACTGAGCTAGTAACTGCAGCAGTATCCTAGTTTGGTTTCCTTTTCTGTGATAAAACACTTAGCAAAAGCAAATGATTTATTTGACTTACAGGTTATCGTCCATCATGGAGGAAACCTAAGGAAGGAACCAGAGTCAGGAACTTGCAGAGACCACAGACTTACTGGTTTGCTTCCTCTGGCTTGTTAAAATGCTTTTCTTATATAGCCCAGACCCACCTGCTTAGGGATGGCACCACCCACGGTGTGCTGACTACTTCTTAATCAGTAATTAAGAAAATGCCCACAGATATGCCAACAGGCCAACCTGATGGAGGCTTTGTGTTGTTGTTTTGTTTTTGGAGATAGGGTTTCTCTGTGTTAACAGTCCTGGTTGTCCTGGAACTCACTCTGTAGACCAGACTTAACTCAAACTTACCTGGATCTCACTCAAGATCCACCTGCCTCTGCCTCCTTGAGTTCTGGGATTGCAGGCAGGCACCACCATGCCTGGCTGGAGGCCATTTCTTAATTGAGGTTCCCCAGGACAGGCAAATACTGGTCTCCTAACCCATGTATTCTTGGTTTATTACTGTTTTAAGCTGTTACTCTTGTAGACCACCCTCATCTTGCTTCTAAAACATTAAGTTCTATTAACCATCTTCTATCTCAATAGGACCACTGGATGACACATTAACCTTGTCCTTTTGTTGCAATAATTGCACACACTTTGCTCCTGGCATTATCTGGCTTCTGTTATTTTGTGAGCTTATCCTAATTTCTGTGAAAGAGCCCCATTCTATAACTGTGTCTCTTTAGTCAGCCCTACATGCAGAAGATGGCCTCCACTGACATTCTTGGTAATCATTACCCTTTTAATATACTTTATCACCATTGTATGTCCTGTGGGCTCTCTAAGGCTCACATCTGCCTGGCCATTTTCCATCCTTAAATAGTATGACACTTGGAGCTGTTGGTACCTTTTATCACTCTATTTCCACATCTTGTACAACAGGCTATTGTTTCCTCCAAGTTTCTATGAGACATCCTAGTACCTGTGCTCCTTACCAGGGTGATAAATCCTTCATCCTGACAGAGTGCTCCCACTATTGATAAACTCTACCCTATGAAGTGCCAGCCAGTAGTCTGTGATTGTAGAGTTTGGTGTGAAAATGAGCCAAAATTTTCCTTTTGTGTACAAAAGAAAACTGTCATCGTTACCACAGTAAGGATTTCCTGCTAGAGCAGAGGCCTGTTGTATCCCAGCCCAGGTTCTTGGCTAAATGGAAACACCACAGAGTTGCTTTCCTGGGAGAGGCCTGCCATCTTGTAATAATGGTATATTTGGTACATTATCAGTGTATTATTTTTGTTCAATTTTTAAAATAAAAGGGCATTTTAAAATAAAAATGTTCTTGTTCAACACGCTTTGCTTTCAATACATAAAAAAATCTTTTAGTTTGATCTTATATCCAATGCTTATGAATGTGAGATTAATGACTCAATTAGTTTTTTTAAAAGATTTTATCATTATATTATTATTTGTGTGTGTGCATGTGTGCATGCAAGAGTGTGTACATGGGTACCTGTGGATGCCAGGAGATGGTGTCACATTTCCTGGATCTGGAGTTACAGTTGGTTTTAAGACCCAAAAGTGGGTGCTAGGAACCTAACTCTGTTCCTCTTTAACTGCTGACTCATCTCTCCAGCCCTCAGTTAATATTTCTGCTAACTTTAGCTATAGGTTTTACTGTAGAATGTTCTTTTTGGTAAAGAAATGGGAAATGATGGGAGTAGTGAGCACAAATGTTTCTAGGCTTTGTATAAAAAATGTTGATTCCTTTTACTGAAATTAACTTTGCTGCCGGCTCTATGGTGTAATGTTTAGTGCTTTGAACTTTGAATCTAGAGATTAACTTTGAATTTGTAATTTAATTTATTTATACAACTGTTACCTGGAATGCTTTTCTAAACATTTCACAAAAGTTAGGAGAGTAGCAAACAGACTTTTATTGAGTGCCTGTATGCACAGTGGTGCAAGTCATGTTCTACAAAAGGCACCAGTACTTGGTGTCATGGTTTATGCATTAAACATCATATATTTTCGTGTTTACAAAGAGAGTTTTCCAGCAGATGGCAGTCAAGTGTCTTATTTTAACAAAATAAGAGTATTACAACAATTTCTGCCAAGAGAAACAAAATGTCTTGAGGATTGGTCACCCTTTTCATCTCACACAAAGATATAAAGGCTAATGGTAGCACTGCTTACTATTCTGCCAAGTCCCATGCTTTTTCATCCCCATTCAACCCTCGGAATTGTATGAAGGGAGTGCTCCTGGTCATTTACCCATGGCTTCACTCAGAGCACAGTAGCTTGGGGCCTCTCATGTGGATCTTGGGATCCTTAAAACTCTGCAGTCCCTTCCACACTGCATTATTTCAGAAAACTAAAGCCTCAGAATTCGAAGAGACTTGACTGACTGCCTAAATCAGCCAGGAACCAGAAGCCCTGAGTCTCAGCCCAGCCTTTGCAACCTCTACCCACTGCAGGCTTGCTGCGGTGCTGGTGACACCGGGAGCAGAAGAGAACAGAGCAACCACCTTTGTATGGTTTTCTGCTGTGCAGACTGCAGAAAAATGTAAATGGAGAACTCAATATAGGTTGCAATCATTCACAAGCAGCTGAACATCTTTATATCCAGCCTACTTTGAACATTTACTATCAGTGATGTATGCATTCTGAGATCTGGAGTGGTTTTGCTTTCCTTCCCTCCCTCTGCCTTTCACACTGTGACTGACATTTACAAAGCTCTGCATTCTTTAAAGCAATACCTCTGAGTAGGATCTAACTTTGTAGCCTCAAGGACTAATTAAAAACAAAATGATCTGTTCATATTTTGCCAAAATCTAATTTTAAAACTCAATGGGCTTTGAAGCAATTGGTAAATACAACAGTTATGGATACAGACTTGTCACTTGATCCTGTCAATCTCTGGAAAAGTAACTACAAATTAAGTTTTCTAAACGTCAAATTTGATGGCCACATAAGCCCCAACATTTGCTAGGACCTATCTTAAAGGGATGGTTACAGAAAATTCTTCATCCTTTCAGGGTCAGGGTTCCAAACTTGACTTCTTAGGGATGGCCTTTGGGATTTAAGGACAGGGTTAATGTTAAGCAGGGCTTTTTTTCTAGCAACAAACCTTTCATTCTTTAAGAGACGGGGGTTTTCGTTTCTGCTGAGAAGAAAGGTTAGAAAAACAGGTCAGTGTCCTATGAATATGAAGTAGTCATTTGTTTTCACATGCTGAATTAAATATTGCTGCTTTGTGCTCAGTGTCTTGTGGCTGTTTGGCTCCATCTGGGAAAGTGAGTGTTAGAAAACTCCATGAGGGCAGGAAATGTAGTTTTTGCTTTATCACAAATCATCGGGCTTTGTCCATCAGGTCTCCCACTATCATACCAAATTTATGTAGAATGGGGGAGTTACAAGGCTGTCACCTGCTTCGTCATAGATTGTTTTCACAAGCATCTCATGAGAAAGCTGGATGCATATTGTCTCCCTTCCACCCTAACAGGCTGGTGACTAGAACCAGGCTTCAATATCCCTTTCAGAAGGGTACTACTCATTTCACCTCTTCAAACATAGGTGAAGTAGCTTCATCTGCAGAAAGAAGGTCTGGCCAACTCTATTCCCAAAGTCCTGACAGCAGTTACCCTCATATGTAAGGAATCTATATAAAAAGCTAAAATTTGAGTAAATTACCGGTGACATCAGGAGAGGGGTTAGTCTACACAGACAATTGGCACCAACACAACTCAGGCCAGGAGTGAAAATATCAGAACGTCAGCAACGACAGACATTAGTTTTGCTTTAGCACAAATACATTTTTAATGTTATATTTAAAAGGCTTTATGTTGCTTAAAGTGTCTTACAAAGAAACATTTTACGCAGCTGGGTGTGGTGGCATACCCCTTAATATCAGCACTTCCAAGACAGAAGTGAGCAGACCTCATTGAATTGGAGGCCAGCCTGGTCTATATTGTGAGTTCCAGGACAGCCAGTGGTACATAATATACCCTGTCTCAAACAAAACAAACAAGCCAAAAAAGAAATATAACTTAAAATTTCCTAATCCCATCTGATCAAATTAGAAACATCTAGCAGAACAGTATCATTTTATTCTCAGTATAGTACCCGTTGATAAAGATAAAATGACATATAAAGTAAAAAATGTCAACTACAAAGTATAATGGTAATAGGAAGAAACAAGAGAGAATTTACCATTCTAATATCTAAAGATTTTAACCTAGACAAATTAATTTTTGTTACCACCATTATGGTCATGTAAGAAAAACTGTTGTGTTTTTGTTGATTTGTTTTTGTTTCAGACAGTGTTTTATTCTGTCACACACTAGTCTCAAATTTGAAATCCTGACACCATAGCTTCCCTAGGCCTGAGCCATCACACAAGGCTGAAAAGGCCTAATTAAGCATGAAGCTGGGTGATGGTGGCACACGCTTTTAATCCCAGCACTTGAGAGGCAGAGGCAGGGAGATCTCTATGAGTTCAAGACCATCCTGATCTACAGAGTGAGTTCCAGCCTATGCAGAGAACCCCTGTCTCAAAAAAGAAAAAAAGAAAGAAAAAAAAATGATGAAAGCTACTTTCATCTCCTCAGACCATTAAATGTCTTAGAAGACAAACTGGATGGACAGGAAAGAGAAGTGGAAACTTTAAAAAGAAAGAATAAAAATGATATTTTCCTATGAAATAAGTCTAATAACTTTCTGTAAGGAAATAAAAATAGGCTATGAAAGTATTAAGAAATGAAATCAGGAGTGGGGGTGTGCACTGTACATACATGAGCATGAGTTCAATCCTCAGCATACCACCACAAACAGGAAACCACTAGATTAGTCTAGCTTGACACAAGTAAAAACGAGATGGGAAATTGGTTGCTGGTTATGAAGAAGTTTTTTAAAGTTGACAAAGCTGTTGGCAGAAAATAAGGAAGATGGAGGTAAACCCAGAAAAATGCTCCATATGAATGGGGGCTTTCATTTTGAGAAAACTAAACATAACAGTAGTCTAAGATGGAAACTTGAAACCAGTTTTTCAGAACTGGGCCTACTGTAGCTTGGGGATTTTCTAGGATATCTTGTCCCTCTCTATTCTTCAGGCCTCCAGGAAAGGCCACTCAAGAAATATACTGTTAGGGGCAATAGAGAGAGATGGTTCAGTGGTTAAGAGCCCTGGCTGCTTGCTCTTCCAGAGGACCTTAGTTGAATTCCCAGCACCTGCATAATGCCTTACAACCATCTGTAACGCCAGTCCCAGGAGATCTGAAGCTCTCTTCTGGGTACCAGGCATGCACATGGTACACAGACATACATGTAAACAAAACACTCATAAACATAAATAAAACTAATAAAAGAGGAGGGCTTTCCTGAGTCCTTAGGAAACCAGGCAGGCTCTCTGTAGTTCTCTTGCATTAATTCAGTGCACGCAAGTAACCACAAATCTTTTTTAAGGCCTTGTATTTCTGCCACCACTTTCTCTTTGTGTACTTCTCTCCCTATTTTCTGTGTAACTGACAAGGTCAGTTTCCTTTCCCATCCCCATGAGGAAATAGCTAAGGGTTTTCTAACAGCATGTCTCATTTATATCTAGTCATAAAGATGTGTGTGTTGTGTTGTGTTTATGTAATTTGTAGAAAAATAAATACCTTAAACCCCTTTATTACCATTTAAACCTTCCTTTGTGAATATCTCTATGCATGCAAATGATTATAACTAGTCTTTCATAATCAAAACTAATAATTTATAAAGTATTACATAAGCATAGAAAACATTTAAGGTATTTCACATTGTACAAAACTGGGATGTACTTAGGCTAAACATTTTAGAAAGATCTTTAACATCTTGTAAATCTGAGTATAAAATACACTTTGTTCAGTTAGTGAGAGGCTGATAGCTGTCCACCCTCTGCAGAAGCGTATCTGAATATCCAGGGGAATAGTACCTGAAAAAGAAAATCTGCTATCAGATATATGGAAAGTTTTCATACAGTAGGCACAAAACAGTCTATATAAAGAACTACTGAAATAATTTATGGGGCTGGTGAGATGGCTCTTGCTGAGTTCATCCCTGGAGCCCACATAGTAGAAGAAGATAATCAACCCTACAGGTCTGACCTTCCCATGTATGCTGTGCTGCAAGTGTGCACACATAAACACATGTGAGATGTTGTAAAATAGATAATCATGAGTGAAACATCACATATGTTCCAGTAATGCTTATGGATAAACTTAGAGCATATGAAGGAAGAAAGTCCTACTCACAATGTTGTACTAGATACTATACTTCAGGAATGTAAGTGTGATGACAAAGGAGATATCGTCTGAGCACATGTCTTCAATCCAGTGATCACACTTCAGAGATTTTCTTTTTATCATACCAAATGAGTGATGGTACTTAAGGATCATAGCTAATGAATCATGTAAAACAATCCTGTTTCTAATTCAAATTTAAAAAAAGTTGAAAAAAAAGTTACTGTAGAAAACAATAAAAAAAAAAGTAAGTCATAAATTTGGAGCTGGAGAGATGGTTCAGTGGTTTAAAACACTTATGCTCTTCCAGAATATCTAGGTTCAATTCCCAGTTATAACTCCAGTCCCAGGGAATGCGCTCTCTTCTGGCGGTACCAGGCACACAAATGGTACACAGTCACACATCCAGGCAAAATGCGAATACATAAATAAAAAATAAAAAAATATTTTAAAAGGCACAATTTCTTCCACAATGTATCAAGTTAAAGTAGGCAAAACAGAGCTATATTTTCTTCAATAGTGCCTTTGCTCATAATTAAAGTTAAACAGAGCACATGCTACAAAGAGTGTTCGGCCTCCTGCACTCATGTACACAGACACATACATATACACATAATTAAAACCAAAAGAGAAGACAAAATTTAGCTGGGCATGATAGCACACACTTTTTCTCCTAGCACTCAGAAGGTAGATACAGGTGGATCTCTGTGAATTTGAGACCAGCCTAGTCTACATAGCAAGTTCCAGATCAGCTAAAACCCTGACCCTGTCTGGGAAAAAAAAAAAAAAAAATGTTTTCATCAAAAGGCCACCTAATCTAGAAAAATCTATTTCAAACATGGATTTCTTAGCCTGGCATTGAGGACTGTCAATTCTCTCTCTCAGTCTTCATTAGTACAGATATTAAAGCTAGTTCCACTTTCATTAGCGCCTCATAAATATGTCAGGGACAATACAGGTAGTTTTTATACAAAGGTGAAGAGGCAAGGTTTGCAAAGTCTTTTAAAATGTGCTACTTCAAATGGTAGCCACTAGTCACATGGGGCTGAAGAACACTAGAAATATAGCTACTATGCTTAAGAAACTAAAATTTTAAATTTTAGCTTCAAAACTGACAAATCAGCTATAAGAGAACACAAAAAACAAGTCTGGAATCGTTTGTGAGTCTTCCTTCCAATGTAAGTTTTATATGATCTAAATTTACCCCAAATATTTCCAATGAGATTTACCCCCTGAATTAAGATATTCTAGAAGTAACAAAATATACAAATGTAAAAATAACTCACTTTGCAATTATATGGTGTGGATATTTGGATTGTTAAAAAATCACTAAAATTTATTTACCATTTCATTTTATCAAGTTATCATTTACTGTGAGAAAGCCTCATTCCAACTACTATCGTGCTAAGGATTAAAAAGTAGCTCCCTATTAGGAAAAACTATGTAATCCCAACTCCACAATGAATGGCATTTTAAGTACACAAGAATAATTTTATTTTATATTTGCTTGCTATACATTTATCATCAAAACAAATAGCAGAAAACAGGAATCAAGTACTACTACATAATACCTCTAATATGATTATAAAATTTAATTTTATAGATTAAATAAAATTTAATTAGAGAAAAAAATAAGAATAGAGATACTCCAAAAGGGACAATAAGAAATATTGATTGAATTGAATTCTTACTAATTCAAGCCCTTTGGCTACTATGTCATTTAATTCTAATGTTATATGTAATAATATTTACAAATACATCAATTCTAGCTTAAAGAATTTAAATAATTGTCTTTAAGGTCACACAGGAAATAATTAGAACTAAGATAGGAACCTAGGTCTGTCTGGACACATGACCTGAGCTTTCATCAGAGCCATAAAAAAAAAGGTGAGACATTCCTTCCTTCCCTCTAGCTATCAATCACTGCTACTCTAACCTAGCTCTAATGGCCTTTAATCATAGGCAAATTAACTTTACAGTAGACTATGAGGAATTTGGGTTATTCTTGTCTTGGCCTTTGGGCTTGGATCTAGTGTGTTACACCTTTAAGTGACTAGAACTGTACTGGGCAGCAGGCTGTGTACACACACTCTCCCCCATCAGATGTGGCCCTTTCCTCCTGATAGTGTGCAGAGATCCAGAGGCAAGTTCAGAACACACCTTGTGGCTGGGGAGTGGGCCAGACCTAGAAAATAGGTCCTTTGAAAGCCTAGTCCAGACCCTTCCCTCTTATAACACCTGCTTGTGCTAGAAATGTAGGGTTAAAATTAAAGTTGGAAGGAAATATGAGATGTCTATCAGGCTGATGCTGTCTTATAAAAAATAATTAGATCTGAAACAGTTGTCACCAGCTGATTTTTGAGAAATAGATAACTGTAAAAATAAAACCCTTTTGAAATCATATTTATCTATTTTCACAGTGTTTTAAAGATTCCCATAAAATGTTATTACATAGAAGCTAAAGCTTTTTTTTTTAAGTCAGAAAGTTGAAAAGGTCCACTAACCAAAATCCTCATGAAAATTAGATAGTTTTAAAGATGAAATCTCAGCTGGGCATAGTAGTTCACGCCTTTAATCCCAGCACTGCTGTAGAGGCAGGAGGATCTCTGTGAGTTCAAGGCCAGCCTGGTCTACAGAGCAAGTTCCAGGACATCAAGGCTACACAAAGAAACCCTGTCTCAAAAAAAAAAAAAAAAAAAAAAAAAAAACCTACTACTACTAATAATAATGAAATCACAAAGCATAGAATTCAAGGATTTAAATTTTATAATAGTATTTTGACAAAGCACCTGTTTTGTTTTGTTTTTTAATATTTTCAAAACTGGCTTATTGAAATTGTTTCAAGTTCCCATCAGCTTCTTAAGAGTGAATAACTTGGACTGCAGAGAAGGCTCAGTAGTTAAGAGCATGCACTGCTCTTGCCGAGGATCCAAGTGGGAACCTGAGTTTTGTTCCCTGCACCATCTCAGGTGCTCCAGGGGAGAACCTGCACTCATATACACATACACACAAAAATGTAAATTTTTTTAAAAAAGAGTTCAAGCTAGGCATGGTAGCACACACATTTAATTCCAGCATTTGGGAGGCAGAGGCAGGCAAGATCTTCGAGAGTTGAGGCCAGCCTGATATACATAGTGAGTTTCAGGCCAGCCAGGGCTATATAGTAAGACTCTGTCTTGAAGGAAGGAAGGAAGGAAGGAAGGAAGGAAGGAAGGAAGGAAGGAAGGAAGGAAGGAAGGAAGGAATAAAGTAGTGAGTAAAAGAACAATTTAATCAAATTTTTATTGTGCTTTGGAACTCAATGTTACTATGTTTTAAAAACCAATACTATAGGTGGGCATGGTGGTGCATGCCTTTAATCTAAACACTCAGGAGGCAGAGGCAGGCGGATCTCTGAGTTTGAGGTCAGCCTGGTCTACACACAGAAACCTGTCTCAAAAACCAAACATTAAGTTTTAAGTAGGAAAAGTAGGTGAAAGGTATAATTTATACATGTTACACAGCCTGTGAGTTGTTATGAACGGTGTTTGTATTTTATTTGAGGAGAAAATAAAACTGTCTGTACTCTGTGCTCAATATTGTTTTTTAAGACTCAATTCTTTATATTATTCTACTCTTTTCTTGGCAAATTTGCTTTTGTTTAGGGCTTAACCATATAGTTTTCCTCTAGGTTTACAAGACCTGAGACTTGGGTCTAATGCTCTAAAAATGGACTTCATGTTGAGAAATCTTAATCTGGGTTGGAGGTGTAGGTCAGCAGCACAGAGCCTGAAAGTAGGTTCTTGTTGAGCCTGGCTTGGAGGGGTTCCTGTAATCTCAGCACTCTGGAGGCTAAAAGGGAGAGATCAATGACTTCAGGGCAAAGCCTAATCTATACAGCAGGATCATCTCAAACAACAAAAAGAAACAGTTGGTTCCTCCTCCTCCTAAGCCTAACCCTCTTCTTGTGTGTATGTGTGTGTGTGTGGGGGGGGCTGTGTGTGGTATACATGTGTGTGGATATAAGTGCATCACTTACCTCCTTGTTTTGGGAGACAGCATCTCTCAGTGAACCTGAATCTCACTGACATCAACTTAGCCAGCTAGCCTGTGAGCTTCCAGGTTTGACCTGTATCTTCCCCAATACCTAGGACATGTGTGGCTCAGGTTCTACACAGGTAGGAAGCCTGACTTGGGCCCTCTTGCTTGCATAGCAAGCACTTCTATTATTGAGCCATCTCTCCAGCCCCCAAAAATCTACATTTTGGCATAGATATAAAAACTAGATTTGAAAAACAAAAAAACAAAAATTCCTGTAATATTGAGCTGCATAAAGTCCATTTCCCCACCTTACTATTTCTTCTGGGTAACAGTTGTTAATATTGTTGATGTATTCTTGGAGGAGAGAACCAGGTTCTGCTTTTATCTCTTGGATCTTTTTAAGTCCACCACTCATTACAAAAAGCCGTCGAGCTTTGCTATCATGAGGCAACACCTTAAAAAGAGAGACAGATAAGAAACTTCATCTTTACTGTTCCAAGTTAGATTATTTCTCTTTAAGGCCATATTGTATCAGAAATTTTGTAGAAGAGAATTTATGTTCAATATGCCACCTATAACCCTTGTTTATTGAGATAGAATAAAGCAATGAAATGAGCACAGCTAGTGGATCCACTCATACCTAAAGCATGAATCTGAGGTCTTCCCACTATCGAAAAAAGTGAAGTCAAGATCCTTAACAAGGCAGAAGGGTCCTTTCCCATCTCCTAAGTTCGTCTCCACTCCAGAGTCTCACGTCTCCACCCTAAGCTTTGTGTCCAAAGAATGCATGCTCTGCCATCGTTTGTATTTCCCCCTGAGGAAATGTCCCCTTCCCTGGTTAACTCTTTCCCACTGTTTAATACTCAGCTTCCCTATTACCTCCTTTAAGAAAATACAGGTGTGGTGTGGTGCCATACACCTATTCTCAGCAGGCAAAGGCAAGGGATCGTTAGGTAGGCAGATTATGACTGGAGATCAACCTAAGCTATACACTGATGCTCTGTCTTTAAAAAATTAAGGTAGTGCAATGATAACATTTGGCAAGCATGTTCAGGTCCCTGGGTTTGATTCCCAGCACTGGAGATAGAGATGGGAGGTAAAAGGGGTGAGAAAGAGGTAGAAGAAATGGCCTTGTTTATAATAGCATTAAAACTGACTATTCAACTGAGTTTGTCTTCTTAACTAAAGAAAATTTAATTGACTTTAAACATGTGAATGTTTGTTTACTTATTACTGTGCATGGGCCTGTGTGCCACAACATGCATGTGGACATCAGAGAACAACTCTGTAAAGCTGATTCTCTCTCCACCTTCACACAGGCTCCAGGGGTTGAACTCAGTCAAGCCTGGCTGGCAAATGACTGAACCTGCTGACACAGCTCACCATCCCCAATGTGGGGTGTTGTTTTAACATGTGGGGGTGCACATGCCATAGTCCATGCATGGAAGTCAGAGGATGACTGGGAAGAGTTGGTTCTTTCCATTCACCAGGTGGGCTCCAGATGGCACTCAGCTTGCCAGGTGTGGTGAACGCACCTTTACCCACTGAGCCATGTCACTGGGCCCAAGTGTGTTGTTTTTAAATAAAATTTTGTTTGTTTTTGTTTTCATTCTCATTTTTTGATATTGTATATACCTTAGCTTGAATTAAATTCTTAGCATATGCTATCTCATTTAACCTCTACAACAGTGTGTGGAGTAAGGGTTCTTATACCAGTCTTGTGGGTAATGATACTAAGAGTTAGAGAGGCCAAACTTCCCTTAAGAATTAGAGCTATAACTTGGAATACAATGCAGTAGTAGAGCAGTTACCATATGTGTGACCTTAAGTGTCATCCTGAGCACCAAACACAAAATAAAAAATGTAAAGAAACAGAACTGAGCCTGAACGCATAAACACTCAGCCACGTGATTTGTGCAGACCCCGTTTTCTTTCTTTTGGTTTTTTGTTTGTTCGTTTGTGTGGGTTTTTTGTTTTTTGTTTTGTTTTGTTTTGTTTTGTTTGAGACAGGGTTTCTCTGTATTGTTTTGGAGTCTGTCCCGGAGCTCGATCTGTAGACCAGGCTGGCTTCAAACTCAGAGAGATTCACCTGCCTCTGCCTCTGCCTCTGCCTCTGCCTCCTGAGTGCTGGGATTAAAGGTGTGCGCCACCAATGCCTAGCATTTGTTTGCTTGTTGCTTATTTTTGAGATGGGTCTCACTTTATAGCCTTGGCTGGCCTGGAAATCTGTATAGCCCAGGCTGGCCTCAAATTCCCAGACAACCACCTACCTCTGCCTCAACCTACATGGTAATAATTTAATTTTTAAAATGTGTATGGTGTTTGGTCTGTACTTAATTCTGTGTACTATGTCCATGTTTAGTGACCATGGAGACCAGAAGCAGCCATGGATCATCTGGGAATGGAGTTAGAGACACTTAGGAGTTGCTCTGTGGCTACTAGGAATTGAAGCCAAGTCCTCTAGAAGAACAGCCAGTATTCTTAACAGCTGAGACATCTCTCCAGCCCTTGTAGACCCTATGTTTTAATTCAGATATGCAGAGTCCAGTTTCGCCAATTCCCAACAGCTGAGGGTCACTATCCTGACAGTCAATGATGATAACACAGTTGCTCTCCTCCAGCCCTTGCTGCCTTGTTGGCTGTGCACTTTGGCAGCATGACCTTTCTACAGGACCATCAATCTTCAATGATTTATGAAATATGACAGTTGCATTTGTTTAAATTGTCCATAAGAAGTCACTATGCACCAAATGACCGAGAACATCTCCAGCAAGTATAGAGTTCCTGGAAAATATTTCAGTGACTGAAAGACCTTTTTCTTTTTCTAAAGATGTTTGCTATGTTCCTAGACTAAAAGTGAGACTAAAGGACACAGAAAATCACTCAATATATGTTTCAGCATAAATTCTCCATATTACAAGGTTTTTTACATGTTTGCATATTCCTCTTTACACTGTTTAAGAAGACAGTGTGGAGCTATGAGGACTGTATGAGGAAGAATAAATGGTTATCTGTGAGTTTTGTTAACCTATGGTACCCTTGTCACTTTTGATTGGTGAGAGCTGAGACTTAAGTAGTAAAACCCAGACCAAATTTTCCAGAAGAAAGCAGAAAAACAAGCTCACAAATAACTTCCATCATCCTCTCTTTTTCCAGGCTGTGATAGCATTCCTTACCTTACTGAACTGTCCAGCTACATACTTCAGGATATTGGGAGGGGCATCATAGAGAAACGGCTCGAGAGCTGGGAGGTAGGTGCATTTTTGTATGATATTCTTTATGGCCTTTTTACACTATTGAAACACAAAGCAGAATGCATACAAAGCTTGGCAATTCATGTCTCATATTCCTGGATTTTGAAAATGAAATCAGTTTCTTGCAGTTGTTTCATTTTTAAACAGTTTTCTGAAGAACTTAACAGCTGAGCCCTCTCTCCAGCCCCTGTAGACACTTATGTTTTAAGTCAGATATGCAGGGTACAGTTTCACAAGTTCTCAACAGCTGAGGAACTATTGTGACTGGTTTTATTATCAGTTTTATCAATTGTAGTCTATTAAATTGAAACTATGAAGTGATTCACTGAACTCTTAAATATATAACAGGACATTAAAAGTATAAAGTCTATTTATGACCTGCAAATTAACATCTATGAGTATAAATAAATGTGTAAGTATACATGTGTAGCTATTAAACAGATAACTTAAAGCATCCTATTTGTCTTAATCAACAAGTATGAGATAATAGTTATTATAGAGGATTCTAAATTACCTATATAGTGTAGGTATTCTATACTGCCTAAAAGATTTCATGCTCATATAGAGGCACTGATAAACTGCTAGTGTGTGAATTATTCAGTGTGCGTTTGTACCTATTCTCAAGTAGAAGCAAAACAGAATCTACTCACCTGTTGAATTGGCTGTCAACTGAGTCACTTCCCAAAACATAGGCCCCTTTCCTACCTCTACTTCCTACCAGCACTAGAGTCCCACATCTCATGTGTGGTGTGCATCTGAGCTGCCCTACAGATTTTGCTCTTTCCTTCCTCTGAAGCCACAGCCAAATTGGTCTTCTGGTTTTGTTACTGTATGTCTGGCAATGATCTTGAAATGAAGGACCATTTTGATTTTTACATCATGGACTTTATAAATGGTAACTATATGCAGCAAGACTTTTATCAGATTTGTGCTATCAGCAAATGATGTCTTGAATTTTAGGTTTTCTTTAGAGACCCAGACTAAGAGTCTTACACATCCTCATCTCCTAACACATTTTACCAAAACCACTGCTGCATAGGTTAAATACCGAATGTAGAACTGTAGCCCACAAGTAGTATAGGTTGAAAATTAAACCCCAGCTTCCAACACACCTAATTATACTGCCCCTTTGTAAGCCATCTTAAGACCACGATGACCTTAGCAGACCAAGAAATTTAACTTAACTGCCATTGCTAACAAGGCCAAATAGCTGTAATAGCACAGATTATATCAATCACACCTTACAGACAGCCCTACTCTAACTCCGATCATTCTAAGTTGATGATGTACAATCAAGTCATTAGTCAAGAGCTCTAAAATGCAATGTAATAACCTCAGAAGTTCATTGAAATTACTATCCTCAATCTGAAAGATAGACAAAATTTATAACTATTCTCTTAGATAGGAATAGATGTTATGATAAAAATCAACATAATAATATTAATAATGATGATTTCATGTTTAACATGAAAGAAACTTTAGTTGGTAAAGGTTTTGCTTACCTGCCTACCTCTGATAGTTAACAGACAAATGACCCAGTTTAAAAATGAGCAGGGCTGGGTCCTCTTTAGTTATTTACATATGTTTTCATGTGGATTTATTTTTTAATTTTTAGAAATGTATCATTAGTGCATATATGCATATATGTGTGTGCACATACCCAGTGTCCACCAACTGGTGAATGGATAAAAAAAATGGAATATTATCTATCAATAAAGAGGCACAAAGGGGGGCTGGAGAGATGGCTCAGAGGTTAAGAGCACTGATTGCTCTTCCAGAGGTCCTGAGTTCAATTCCCAGCAACCACATGGTGGGTCACAACCATCCATTATGAGACCTGGTGCCCTCTTCTGGTGTGCAGATATACATGGAAGCAGAATGTTGTACACATAATAAATAAATAAAATCTTAAAAAAAAAGAGTCACAAAGGGTTGATATACCCTACACAGAAGAATGTATCCCAAAATTTAGACTAGGGGCTGGAGAAACAGCTTTTGGTTAATAGTGGCTGCTCTTCCAGAGGACCGAGGTTTGATTCCCAGCACCTGGGAATGGCTCACAATGGCTGGTAATTCAGTGCTAGGGAATCTGATGCTACTCTGGCCTCCTCAGGCACAAGGTACACATGGTACACAGATAACACATTTGGGGAAAACATCTGTACACATTAAAATAACAAACTAAGAAAACCCCCTCAGACTGGGTAATAGAGGCACCAAGCATAAAAGGACACATATATTCTAAGATCCCTTTTAAATGAAATGCCCAGAAGAGGCAAATCCACAGAGTTGGAAAGAAAATTAACAGTTGTTTGGATTTAGGCAGAAGAGATGTGGAGTGATGACTGATGGAGGGAGGAAAATTTAAATCAGTTTGTGGTGATGATTTCACAATTCTGTAAATACACTAAAAAAAACGATTGAATCTTATACTTTAAATGGGTAAATTACATAAATTAGATCTCAATAAAGCTACTGAAAATGCAGTGAGAGCCATGACTACAAGCACATGAAAGCTATGTGGAATAAACGACCTAGGAAGTTTCATAACAATTCAAATACCAACACAAGCTAAAGCATTTATTTCAGCATGAAGCCTCTAAAGAAAGTATAACAGATGAACTTATCAGATAACACACTTTTCACTCTTTATTAAGATAATAGAATGACATAGGGACAGCAAACAGTGACCACACAGGAGAAATTCCGAGAGGCTGCTACAGGCTTTCCCAGATTAGAACTAATTAGCCAGGGCTTACAGAAGCTGACCTGCCTTTGGGACAGAAAGAAGAGTGAGGTAACTTTATTCTTTGAAAGCTGCCACAGAATAACAAATGAGAAAGGCCACTAGACAGTTTCTAATGCTTTTGGATACACATTTTCTCACAGAGCTAGTGTTAAATGGAACAGTTTGACAGACTTCAGTCTAAAGCAGCAGCTATATGCTCCCAGGCCCTGCAGAAGAACAAAAAGAATGAAGCCTCTACAGTAAGAAGCTATTCAGATGAACAAGTTTTGGGAAGGTTTTGTTGCCAAGGAAATTACCAAAGGTTTGTTTCTTGCATTTAATGCCTATTATGTTTCCTGAAAGTAAATACTGCACCAAAAGAAACTTCATTTCTATTAATTAACCTAGCAAAACCATCTTTGATGAATTAAAACAGAGTAAAGGTTATCTTACTTTTAAAAGTAATGGTTTTATTCCATGGATATTTATACAATGTAATGTCACAGTAGTCCATTAGAAAAAAACAAATTATATGGGCAGGGGAGATAGTTTAGTGATCGAGGGCTTACATGCCTGACATGACCAAGCTCTGGGGTTAATCCCCAGCACCACTTAGAAATATATAAAAAGTATACAAGGCTACCCAAGGACTACATTGCCCAGGTTTCTCAAGCTATCATTACTGTTGATTACATTAATCAGCCATACCTGAACAGATCAAAACTGCAAATGTAGCTGGGGTTTCTTACCACAAATTCAAAGAATCACACACTCCTTTAACTGGAAAAGACCAGGGAGGGCCCACTGTGGATCTGTCAATTAGTTATTACTAACTTGTTACATTACCTCAATACTATGGCCATATGAGGGAAGCTCTAAACCTATTCTTTGGGTTGAGTTGGGAGGGGGGCAGTTGTGGTAGTTTGAATGTAACTGGCCCCCAGAAGCTCATAGGGAGTGGAAGTATGTCACTGTGGAGGTGGGCTTTGAGGTCTCCTTTGCTCAAGCCATGCCCGGTATCTCAGTTCACTTCCTGTTGACTTCAGATCAAGATGTAAAACTCTCAACTCCTTCTCCACCATCATGTCTGCCAACACACCACCATGTCCTGTCATGATGGTAATGGACTAAACTTCTGAACTGTAAGCCACCCAATTAAATGTTTTCCTTCATAAGAGTTGCCATGGTCATTGTGTCTCTTCACAGCTGTAGAAACCCTAACTAAGACAGGGTTTTGTTTTGTGTGGCTTTTGTTTTTTGTTTGGTTGGTTGCTTTTTTGCTTTTTTAAGACAGTTTCTCTGTGTCACCCTAGCTGTCCTGAAACTTACTATGTTTATAGGGTTGGCCTTGAACTCACAGAGATCTGACTGCCTCTGCCTCCTGAGGGCTGGGGTAAAAGGCATGAGCTACTAAGCCCAGCTGTAAACCATTGATTTGATCTGGAAAATGTTGCAACTACTAGGAAAAACCTTACTTTTGGAAATCAATTTGTAGACACTTAGCATATTAATATAACCAGATAAAGAAACTTTACTTTCATAAAACATGGGAACTTCCTATCTTGTCATCCAAAGTTACATTCAGTAAATATGTTTTCCTATTCATTAATTTACCCATTTAATTAAATTTTATGCACTTTACTATTATTAATTTCATTTTGGGTTTTAATTACATTTATTTATTTAGTGTGGGGGTGTGAGCTTGTGCCTACAGCAAGTGTGTGGGGCTCAGGGGGTAAAGTGGCCTGAGTCAGAGTCTCTGCCTCCGCCATGTGAGTCCTGGGGATTAAACTCAGGCCATGAGGGGTAGCAGTGCCCACCTCTACTCACTAAGCCCTCCGGTTGGCCATGGTCATCTTATTTTAAATTACTGTCCTTGAGGTAAACTTCTCCCATCAGTTCAAAGACCTCCACATTTTCCTAGTATGTTTGCTATAAAATATTTCTTTAAAATTATAGAATTATTAAATAGTCTATGTTTATGAACCACCTTGACAGCCAGTGATAGTTTTCTTATAAAACTTGCCTTTTAAAAATGCAAGATTCAAAAATATTGAAGTTAGTGAACCTTATACACATTTTAAAAAGAAGTAAGACAATTAAACGATAGACATCCTTGAAGTTAGGAATATTCTCTTACTAGTTACATAAGAGCAACTTAAATTCTGTTGGACTCTTTTTTTTTTTTAAGTGAATGGGACAGAGTACTCACTAGCAAATCCAAATTCAAAAATTGTATTATTCTTCCATTCCTATTTCACAGAAAATGTCGACAGCAATATAGAATGCAAAAATTTGACATCCACTTTAAACCAATTTTTTTCTGTACAAAATTTCCTTGAAAATATATCACTAGCTGTAGAGACAACGGTAACTAGTTTTCAAAGATAAGTTACCTATTCTGCTGGCAGATTTGTATTTTCTGACTAAGAAAAGCAACACGGTCCATCAAAAATCCAAGTATTTAAATATTTAAACCACATATTTTAAAGACTAAGTTTGCATCTACCCCATTTCCCCAAGCCAGTTCAAAGCAGCCCTTACTTTCACCTGCAGGTCCTCAGAGCTCTCTGTAGACAAGTACAAAGCCAGAAGCACTGGCAACACGTCTGTGAGAGCAACGGCCCGTGCGTGCTCCGGAGTGTGTCTCCCAACCTGTCCTAGAGCCCAGGCAGCCGCAGCTTTAATATGATCTTCCGGTTCCTCTGACAGGCAGGCTGACAACTGGGGCACACCCTGCAGGGGGGATCAAAAGAGCAAGTGTTCTAAATCTAGAGCGGGATTAAAAAGCCTCTGTGTCTCTCGGGCATTAGAAGAAATCATTTCAGCCTTGATCTCTTTTTCTTCCTAAATGGTTCAATAAATGCACACATCACAAGGGCAGTCATTTCTTAAGTCAATAAAATGACTAGAACTAAATTGCCTTAATTACCTGTAACAATCCAACTGGAGTAAGGATGTCTCTACTGGCTTCTACCCCCTAAACAGAGGGACATTTAAGTAAACAACAGAAATGCCTCAGTCTAGGCAAAACCAGTTCCATGGTGACAAACAGAAATGTTCAGGATCTTAAAATGTTATTTTCCTTTGTTTAAAAGTTAAGACTGAGGACAGCCCTCTGGTTCAACCCTCAGCAACATGTGCACCCCAAGTACAGCAATCAGAAAATAGAATAACACAACAAACTAAAAATCAAGTGAATATGAGCAAGAATCCACTCTGAGTGCCCTTTACATGGAACGTATTCCACTAATACAATATTTGCTGAAATACCACAGACTTTTCCAGTGGTTTTGGTCGACTTTGTGAAGACAGCTCTGCTACTTTCACAGGCTGAATATGGCCAGGCTGCTTTTGTTACACAGGTGTTGTATGTGTGCATTTTGCATTTTAGACTCTAATCTTGTTTAAATAATAAAAACATCATCCTCAAAGGTCTCAAAAATCAGTTTATATAACCTAAGGAAAACTCAAATAAACATATCAAATTTTAATTCCAGATTTTGTACAGAGATAATTTTGTAACTAGTTTGAGACACCGTAATTGTTTCAAATTTAGTGCTGCAAGAACCAGTATCACATGTTGATGCTGCCGTGGCAAAGGTGGAGACCATCACATATGCCTTCCCTATGGCCTTTTAATTTTTTCTTTTTTTGCCCCACCCACCTTTGAGTCAATTTTGTGAAACTTAGCATGTTTCCATATCTGCCGTTTCCCAAGCACTAAAATGGTATGCCCACAATAGAAAAGGTCACACCTGCTGAGGGTGGAGTAACTTTGTAGAGACCCATGTGTGTAGAACATAAGACTGAGGATGACGAGAATGAAGAGAGGAATAGCAGTTGGCCCTTGCACCTCATCCCATGCTCCACATTACTGGTCCCAACTGTGAATACTCAAATGAGCCCAGGAGCATAACTGTGCTGCAGAGGTAACAGAGTGCCTGCCAGAAATGGTCGACATTATCTACTGGTTCCTGAAGCACCTTGGAGGACACGGAGAAAATGCCTCAGACACTGGGAGAGACCGGCAGCAGCCCTCCACCAAAGACGGGGATAGTGCCCTGGCCAGATTCAAAAGGATGTATAGGATGCACAAGCAACTGCCGCTTCGCTCTTCATTCTTCTGGTGAGGAATCTTCCTGACAAAAAAGCCAAGGACCAAAACCCAGACACGTCCCTAACGGCCCCTCCAAATGCACTGGTACTGCTCTAGTCATAGCTGCAGTCTGTAGTGTCAGAGGACAAAAGAAAGGCAGGATGGGAGAGCTCAGTACCACAGAGCATCACTGTGGAATAGGTAGAAAATCAAGAGCTGGGACTCCTTTGTATGTACTCAGAGGATTAGCAAGGGGAAAAAAAAAATCCTCATTTCTGTTTAACAAACAGCAGCAGGTTTTCTATGCTGATAAGAACCCTACCCCCTAGAGGTAGGGCTGCCACACACAGTGTGAGCACATGGTCTTTGAAGTGGTCCTCAGGAAATCTGTATCTATTTACCAACATATTTTGTGAGCACCTACTATGGGCCAAGGCTAACTATAGGGTGGATTCCTACAAAGCTGCAATTGAGAAAAGGTTTAAATCCCCAGAACATGAAGTAACAAAAATTCTGCCGTCTGCTGTGCCCTCTGATTGACTGACTACATCTGAAAGAGAACTAGCCAGCACCATCTCCTTATCCACATGACAGGAACAGGAGGAATACACAGGCCTCTGAGGTTTGTGAAATTGATAAATGGGCAAGTCATTTAAATGACGTTTTCAACTATAGTGTGCTTTTGCATGTATGCACAATCAATCCTTCAAGATACATGTATATAATATTTAAAGACAGACAGATTACAGTAATATGGAAAGCTGGACATTTTCTGTAACTCACACCTTTTGTCAAAGATTGCCCTGGAAAACAAACCAATAAATACTGACATTAGCAGTGAAACAACTGAACGCATTTAGGCAATGTTTTCACTGTGTCTAGTTAGGTTTCCGATTTGGTGTCAGCCTATGGTTGTCTCAGCATATCCTACCACAATGGCTGAGAAAAATGAAGCAAGCACCAACCTTGGAGATGATCACTGCCATGGCCAGGTTCTCAGAATGAGCAGCCACATAGCCCAGCATCATGATGCCAGGCAGCCGGATGTTCCCTTTGCAGGACTCAATGCAATCTATCACTGCAGCTACACCTCCTGCATTGACGATCAGCTGTGAGAGCTGAAAGGAAAGAAAAGGCCCAGAGAGCACAAGACAGCCTTTAAATATGACCTGGCCACACTTTATGTAGTGCTTAAAAATACCTGGTAAAATAGAAATACCATTCAAAGAAATTACTGCATTTATTAAAGAAATGTTCAAATACAATAATCCCATCATTTCAAATGCTCAAATATTCATAGTGGAAAAGTTTATTTTGAGATTTAAAACATTACACAACTTTTATTCCTATTGTAAGAAATTTTAAAATTCCTCACTTAGACACTAAGCTGAGGGCTCATTCATACCTGGCTAACTACACAAGTGCCCAGTCACAGTGCCTTAGTGTAAAGATGAATCAGTGCCCAGAGACATCAGACCCCACACACTAGCAGTGATTACTAGCTGGGTACACTTCTGTTCTTGGAAAATCTCAACTACACATAGACAGATGAAATAGGAATGAGGACTGTAACATGTAATAAAATGAAAATAGATTAGTCAAAATACAAACAGGAAAAGTCGTCTCAACCTCAAAATCGACATAGGCTTGCTTTGCCTCTTTCTTTCACATCTGAAAACTCAGAGCAGAAAATTGTATTACAGTAGCTAGCTATCAGAGTGTCACAGTAGGCCAGGGAGCCCCTGTGGTCTGTCCCAACCTACAGATGCAATATCGTTCTCACTGCTCCCAGCTGTCATGAAATGATAAGGATGACAGAGGTTCATAGTGCCCACAATCTAGGAATGGAAGGCTAGCGATGATTAGAAACTGGATTTCAAACTCGAATGTCATTAATACAATTCAGTGATTCTCAAATGGAGGTGATTTGCACCCTAGAGAATGTTTGACAATGTGTGGAGTCAATTTTTATTGCCATTATTTGGGGGGGGGGACAGTGATGCTCTCAAGTGGGCAGAGCCTAGGAACACTGGTGAACATCCACTCTACCATGTACAGACAGTCACATCATCCAAAATGTCTGCAGTGCTGAGGACAAGGAGCAATGACCTAGTTAGAGGGCATGGAGCAAGCCTCAGACCTCATGAACAAATTGGTGTTTTATTTAAAAATCTGAAACTAAGTATAACTGCACCCTGGAGACTCTGCTTTTTGTTTTGCTTTTACCTCAGGTGTATGCTTTGCAATCTCTCTAATTAAAGTACAAGCGTTTTTCTTCACATATTCGTCTTTGTCCTTAAGACAGGTAAGTACAACCGGGAAAATCTCTGCTTCAACAACCATCTCTGCCAGATCCACAGTGTGCTTTGCAATATGACTGAGAGCTGAAAGGACCTGTTGCTGATAAGCAGAAACATAAATAGGTAAAACAAAACACTATACAGAGTCCACTAGTCCACCTCTGAGTTCAGATGTAACTTAAACAGCTTTAAATACTCAAATTTCTTTATGGGGGGGGGATTTAGCACAATCTAAGATTTCTGAGCATTGGGACTTCCACGTATTAGTCACAAACTCAGATTTTTAGATTTCCCCATTAATTCTTTACTGAGTACAAACCTTTTACAGGTGATTTAGGTAAAAGTCACTTCTTAAGTACACAGTACATAGGTTGCTAATTTATCATATGTGTGGTATGTAGTACAGTAACAAGCAGAATTGATGTCTTTATTGCATGATGGTGGTACCATCTCAAAGAACTTCCCATCACTTAGCTAATGTTAACAATTAATATACATATATGTATATAGTTGCATAATTGATGAATTTAAAAAACTAACAGAGGGCTAAAAACATGAAAATTTCATAAGAAATTCAAATATTTTAGCAATGGGCTAGAAAATCTTTAGATCCTTGTCTTAGTCAAAGGCTCTCCTAATTGAGCTATTTTGGCTAGGCCAATGCCTTATTTTAATCATTAATGTTAACACTAATGCTACCTGAAATCTTCAGCATTGCACACAGATTTCCAAATAACATCTTAAATGTGACAGCCAAAACATTATTTCCACATGTTAAAAGACCCAAGACACAATGTATTTATATCTGCTTTCAATGCTATTTGCTAATTGTTTTTCTCTGTAACATTAGTCTGTACACATCTTCATTTTTTTTTTTTTTTTTTGGATTGTAACAACACTGGCTTGTCCGTTGTCTCTTGACCTCAGTTTTAAATACCTTCAATTTTTCATCAGGGTTGAGGATCATCTGGGCTAAGTGAGCAATAGCTCCCGAATCCACCACCGTCTGTGCTAACTCGGAAGAATGCTTTGAAATATCACCGAGGGCCAAGGCAGCAATCTTTTTCAAAGCAATTTCTGGCTCCTGGATACAGAGAACTAAAAGAGGAACAGCTCCCGCATCCACCACAGCTTGTGACAGTTCTGTGGGTCCAAGAAAAGTAATTAAGTGAGTATGGGTGACTGACCCTTGTGCAAGCCATCTTTCACCCTGACAGATACAGCAAAGAAAAAAGGGGAGGGTGTACTTCACTCTCTCGACATCTGCATTTCAAATCAGCCTTTCTGGTTTCATAAACCATGTGGACCAATCCTGAGCTGAAAAGAACACAGGTCAATAGATGGACCTCCATTTACATGAACACATTTGAGGTAGATTAGGCTGAAATGGCTTGTTATCCTTTTTTTTTTTTTTTTTTTTTTTTTTTTTTTTTTTTTTTTTTAAGAGAGTAAGCAGATGTCAGCTGTTTAAGCTCTGGCAATTCTGCACTTCTCAATAGGCAAGCATTTTATGCATGGTTTACAATAACAGAGAAAATTAAAGTACCAAAAATTTACCAACCACACTAATTAGGCAGTATTTTGTTCTATTTCCGTGAGTAAACATTAGCATGAATCATGAACCAATAATGTTGATTTTTAAATTCCCTTCACCTTCTAATACTTTGAAAAGATTTTCTAAAATATTTTATACAAAATAAAAGGCTGTCTTTTCATTGTATGCTAAAATACTTTCAAAAATGAGGTTTAAAACTTATCAACATACTTTTATATGTATTAATGTTTAGATAAGGGGATAAATTCATATTTACCATGTTATACAGAGAGCAAACAAATATCTTTTGGATATACATGTTGATTTACTTATATATTCAGCTATAAAATAATAATTTTACATTTCAGAGAATGAGAAGTGTTGGGGCAGAACCTTATAATGCGCATGCAATAACTGCCATTTGAGAAGCAGGAGGCTCTGTCCAGTAACACATTCTAGTCTGATGTATGTGTGGTCTCATGGAATCACACACACCATTTCTCCAGTCTCTTCCTTCTAAATTATATTTATATTTTCCCATATTACTAGTTAATATATATATATATATATATATATATATATATATATATCACTTAATTGTCAAGCTAAAATAGCTATTGACCATGTCACTTTAGTTTTTAATTTGAAGAAAATGCTTTTTCAAAAGATTGGTAATACTACATTTTCTAAAAGAAACTAATGTTAGCAAATACAAGTTAGTGTCTATAATTTGTTTTATAATTTCTTAAATTATCATAATTATCTTAGAAGTCTCAATGATGTTTAATCATTTTATTAATTCTTTCATTAAACAAGTATTAATGGAAGGTTAATATATGCCAGGATCGTTGAATTCTAGAGCCTGTGACACACTTCTACAAACCAACACTACATTCATTAGCAAAATGTTTTAATTTAAAAAATAATCTGGCCAGGCGTTGGTGGCTCACGCCTTTAATCCCAGAACTCAGGAGGCAGAGGCAGGCGGATCTCTGTGAATTCGAGGCCACCTGGTCTACAGAGCGAGTTCCAGGACAGCCTCCACAAAACAATACAGAGAAAACCTGTCTCAAAAAACCAAAACAACAACAACAAAAAACAATAAAAAATAATTTGGGTTTTCTTTTCCAGTCCCAGGCGCTTCAGGAGCCGCCGGATACCATTAAGACAAGGCCAAGGCCAAGAACCACACCACACACAACCAGTCCAGGAAATGGCACAGAAATGGCATCAAAAACCTGGATCACCAAGATACGAATCTCTTAAGGGGATCGACCCCAAGTTCCTGAGGAACATGCGCTTTGCCAAGAAAAACAACAAGAAAGGCCTGAAGAAGATGCAGGCAAACAATGCAAAGGCCATGAGCGCACGGGTAGAGGCCATCAAGGACCTTGTGGAAGCCCAAGGTGGTGAAGCCCAAAATGCCAAAGGGCCCCAGCCGCAAACTCAGCGGCCTTGCTTTCATCGCTCACCCCAAGCTTGAGAAAAGCAGATTAGAAGCTACATGGCTAAGGGTCCCAGGATCTGCCAACCAAAGCCCAAAGTTCAAACCAAGGCAGAGGCCTCGGTTCCAGGTAAGGCCCCGGCTTCAGCTCCAGCTCAGGCTCCCAAATGTGCCCAGGCCACTGTGAAGGCTCCATGGAAAAGGTTTCTTCCACTGTGAACACAGATGGATTGGTGTGACATACCTACACACTATCTGCAGGTGATCAGGCCCTGTGCTGTTCTTACAAGTAAACTTGAGGCAAGAGCTGTTAAAAATAATAATAATCTGGTATGTAATACGTGAAGTTTATATGCCATCTCAAAAACCTGGGGAAATAAGAGGAATCTTTTTTTTTTTTTTTTTTACAATGTCAGATAGACTTGGGTATTCACACAGCAATGTAATTGGTCCCTCAGAAGTATCTGCTACTCTATCCACAAGAAGTTGGACAGAACAGCAGGCACAGAAGGCACTCAAGGGAAATGGAAGAGAATATAAAGTACAGTGTGTGTCTGTCTCTCTCTCTCTCTCTCTGTGTGTGTGTGTGTGTGTGTGTGTGTGTGTAGTTTGTAAAAACAACACTCAAATTCCCTGTTAGTTAACAGGCTTCTGACAGATTCAAACCAACCCAAATTATACAGGTGTCATATGGTAATATTAATTCTATATGTGCCTACTGGAATATAATGGGCAAGATGGTAACTGCTGTCAACCTGGCATCCAGGAGCAGACCTCCAGGCACACTTGTGAGGGATTGTTTAGATTAAGGTAGCCTCTGAGAGTGTTGGAGAAGGATTATCTTAAGTCAATTACTGTCGGAAGACCTACTTTGATTATGGACAATACTGTTCTCTGAGTAGGGAAACCCTGGGCTCCAAAAGACTCAGACTACAGTCTGAGAGGTACCATGGGTGACCTCATTCATTCCTCTCTGCTCTTGACTATGGATATAATGTGACCAGTTCTCTCAAGTTCCTACCACTGTGATGTCCCTGCCCTGATGAGCTGAAACCTGGAATTGTGAGCCAAATAAGTCCTTTCTCCTCATAGACAATGGGTCAAACATTTATCTAAAGAAAGTAGAAAGATTAATTCACTTCTGTGTTTTCACTCTCATGCAGTTTCTAGGAGTAAAGAACACACAGTGAGCCGGGCGTTGGTGGCGCACGCCTTTAATCCCAGCACTCGGGAGGCAGAGGCAGGTGGATCTCTGTGAGTTCGAGACCAGCCTGGTCTACAAGAGCTAGTTCCAAGACAGCCTCCAAAGCTACAGAGAAACCCTGTCTCGAAAAACCAAAACAAAACAAAACAAAACAAAAAAAACACACACAGTGAACTTCAACTCTTTAAAGGAAATATCAAACCATCCCCAGATAAATAAATAAGCCATTAACAAAAACTTAGGTTCTTCCTACAAGTCACCCGTTTTATAGTATGCATATATTTTCTCATGGAATGGTTGTTGGAGTAACAAATACTCCATCGCCCGAATGCTGAACTGTTAATAATAAAATGCACTGTCCTGACAAGTTACCTAGTTCCACCCTTTGCTGCTGTTAAATGTTGGGAGACTGGGAGTGTCCCAGCAAAAAAGTCTGCAGTAAGGTGATGGAATGTCCATAGACCTCTACTAGTCCCAGCAACTTTGTACTGGAGTCTCACATGCTTCACATCAGTAAATACATATGGTCCCACAATGCTGAGATATATACCCTTGAAGGCCACACAGTGTTCCTTAGAAATAATATTGACCTATGACCTTCACACATGCAGTCTCTATTAGCTGCTCTTCCCCAGGTTCCCCACATTAGTCTGGGAACATGTTACACACCCTGCCTTCAACCCTCAACCTTGAAGGAAGTACACAGAATAAAACCTTGTTGTAGACAAGAACTCGCTCCAGGTGAATGCAGGAACATACCTCCAGGCCTTGGGTCTGTTGCACAGCCAAGGAAATGTGGAAGTGGCTTCATCCCAAGAAGGGCTTCCCAGCTACTGCCTTCTCCCCTTCCCCTTTCCCTTTACTTGCCTACCTTACAGTCTCCCCTGAGACTGGAGTTATAGATGGTTGTGAGCCAACATGTGGTTGCTAGGGCTCAAACCCAGGTCCTCTAGAAGAGCAGTCAGCACTCTTAACCACTGAACCATCTCTCCTCAGGGAGCTCATTTTAAAACTTTAGAAGCCAGCTTGTGGATGTTCAATTAACATGCTTATGAAAGCGATGATTGGTGTGTACACAGATGCTCACCGAAGGCTGTTTCAAAAATAAAAAAGTAGGCCAGATGTGGTGGCACATGCTTTTAATCCTAGCACTCAGGAGGCAGAAGCAGGCAGTTTCTGTGTATTTCATGCTAGCCTGGTCTACATAGTGAGTTCCAAGTCAGTCAGGGCTACATAGTAAGACCTTATCTCAAAAAAATCAATTAACTTTTTAAGAGTAGCCAAGAAATTCATCTTTAGTACCTGAAAATATTTTAGCCTCATTTTAAGTTTTTTTAAATTTATTTATTTTAAATATCAACCACAGTTTCCCCTCTCTTCCCATTCCCTCCCCCTACCTCCCTTTTACCCCCGCTCCATCCACCCCTCCGTCTGTCTCCATTCAGAAGGGTTAAGGCCTCCCGTGGGAGTCCACAGAGCATAGCATATCAAATTGAAGCAGGCCCAAGTTCCTCCCTCTCTGCATTAAGACTGAACAAAGTATCCTACCATAGGGAATAATTTCCAAAGAGCCAGCTCATGCATCAGGGACAGGTCCTGGTCCCACTGCTAGGAGCCCCACAAAAGACCAAGCTACACAACTTAAGGTCTAGGTTGGTCCAGAGTCTGTGAACTCCCACAAGCTCAGGTCAGCTGCCTGTGTGGGTTTCCCCATCATGATCTTGACCACCCCCCCTTGCTCGTACAATCCCTCCTCTCTCTCTCCAATAGGACTTCCAGAGCTCAGCCCAGTGCTTGGCTGTGGATCTCTGCATCTGTTTCCATCAATTACTAGATAAAGACTCTATGATGCCAATTAGGGTAGTTAGAAATCTGACTACAGGGAAAGGCCAATTCAGGTACCCTCTCCACCAATGCTAGGAGTATTAGCTGGGGTCATTCTTGTGGGTCCTGGGAGGTTT